GATCCGGGAACCTGGCATGAGGGTAGCTTCTAAGGTGTCTTCCCATTGCTCTGGTGATCACCATGTCCCTACAAACTCGAATTGACCCGAACACCTCCAACGGTGGTGCTACCTACCTCTCAATGGTGGGATGGCACTACTTTAAAGGACATTTACACAGACGAATTCCTTAGGGTAGGTAGACGACTCATGGATACTTGCTCTCTTCAAAACAAAAATTCAAAGACTTTTCACACCAACACATTTTCAAAAGCTTTCAAAGCAAATTTTTCAAACACTCTGACGTACGAGTCGAACTGAAATTTTTCAAAGAAACTTTTTAAAACCCACAATTGAAAAGCAAACAAAACATTTTGAAAACACATTGAGCAAGTATCTAAGAGCCCATGGATAACCATGGATAGAAAGGGTGCTAACACCTTCCCTTTCTATAACCTACCTCCCGAACCGAGAGCAATCTCTTTAAGGAATTTTTCTGTGCTTTTGTCCTTTCCATTTGGAGAAAATAAAAGACGGTGGCGACTCTTGCTTCCGCGACATTTCGCGAACCAGCTTTAAAACAGTCAGTTCCAGATCCACCGATCACAATATCTATTGTACAAAATTCAGTAAACATTCAAAATACCACATGGATAGGGAAACGAATGCTCGAACAATGTACGTATGATAACACCAAACATTTATAATTCAGTAAAACTCTTTATCTTTTCCAGTTTATCTTCCATTTTCATGTCAATGTTATTCAAATACCTTTACATTCAAAGTCATTTACTTATTTCTTGCATTTAAACGCTTTTCTTCTATTCGAATCCTTTACATTTCAGAAACTCTTTTACATTTCATGCTTTTATATTCATGCTTTTTACATTAAAGTCTTTACATTCAAAGTCATTTACTTATTTCTGCATTTAAACATTTCTTTGCAATCGAATCTTTATTCATTCAATTCAGTTTCGTATTTCTTTACTTGATCATGTCATTAGATTCTTTTAACATGGTAATAGAAGTGAATTGAACGTCTATAAAACATTCTAAATACAAATCCTAACTATGAATATCAGTTTTGCAATTAGATTTATCCAAACGACCAATACCCCATAGGATCAATCTAGTCGATCCTGCAAGTTACCAGAGAGATTAAATAACAGTCATTAAGATTATTTGATAGTTTGGAGGACTAGCGGTTGTTTACCAGAAATCACTGTAAACACTAGCTCAACCACATAAATTTTTTATTACAAAACATCTTTACTTTTTTAAGTTATAAACATTACGGTTTTTCATTAAGAGCATTTGTTAGAACAAACCTTGCGGAAACAACAAATAAAATATGATAAAACGTCTACGAAATTACAACTATTAAAATAATTTCATCTGACCCATGCATCATCAACATTACGCCGCTGTCTGTTTTGACTTCCTCCAACCAAAGATTAAGTCTTCCTGTTGCAAGTGAGGTAGTTCTTCTTCTTCGCTGGATCCTTCTAATTTGTTCCCCATCCTCGATGTCTCCCTCTAGCCATCACATCAACTCTCTCTTCAGACGCTCCATGAAGTGAGTGTGCCAAAATTTCATTTTCATCGGAGGTTTGGTGGCCAAGAAAATAACGTAACCATCTCTTATAAAAATCATGGGAGATGTCATGACGCAAATAACAGAGAGAGAAAAATAAGAAGACAATGCGAAAAAGTGTGAAGAATGACGGAGAAACGGAAGAATTATTTATAAAAAATGCATTTTGCCCTAGGAACCAAGTGAGATGGCGCCTCCTCTCACTTTTAGAGTGCATGCGCCATCTCACTTGGCTAAAAGAGTGCATGCGCCAAGTGAGATTACACCTAGGGAAAATGGGCCAGTGCATGCGCCATCTCACTTGGCTCCTCCTTTGTGGGGTTTTCTGCAACATGGTTATTTGCGTAATTATCTCCAAAGCATGGTTATTTGCGATTTTTTTTAATACCCGATTATTGCAAAAAAAAAAACTCACAACTTGTATTTTAAAGCTTTAGAAACATCCTTATTCTGTGATGTTTGGGTGAGATAAAAACACATTTCACTCATGGAGGAAAAATAGAAAGCTTTTTCAAAACACATTTGAATGGGTTGAAGAATATTATTTTATAATTTTGAATCACAAATATAATATTACATATGTTAGAGTTATTATTTAATTAGTCAAAATTATACTGATTTAGTAAATATTAAATCTATGAATGAAGCCATATATATATATATATATATATATATATTCTACAGTTATAGAAGACAATTTATCAGATATTCTCTTTTGACTTTATTATGAGATAATCAATAAATTTTAAGACACTCTATAAATTAGAATATCACATATTTCTAAACTTTCAATAATTTTAATAACAAATTCAAATACGCTTGTGTTTACATTTTCATATTGAATTTTAATATGTGTTTTAAGGATACAAATTCATATAATATAAACTTAAAAGAATTAGATCAACATTCCAATATAGATTTTATATGAGTAGAAATATATTCGCTAATGAACAAATATAATAAATGGCATCAAAGTCACTTACGTCTAATTCAATTTGATTTTTGAGATATATATATTTTTTAAAATAAGGGTTTAAAAATTAAAATTTCTTTTGATGGTCCCATTTGTGTAAGACTTGTTTTTCTTTTGATAGAAATTATTGAAATTGGAGTTATTTTTATTTCTTTGTTTTTTCTCTCGTTTTTTTACACCACGAGCGCTCCAACACCAGCTCAGTGTGTGGCCTTTGCCGGAATTGTGTTTGCACTATCTGCAATTCAATGTACGAGCATCAAATATTTTGGTTCTGCATGGTGATAACAAAAACCTTCCTTAATTAAACTTTCAATAAGGTTGGCTACATGAATAGATAATTTTAGTCTTAATATCTTTTTTATCCTGTATCTTAATATTAAGATTTATTTTGACCCTTTGACATTAAAAATGTTCATATTGATTCTTTAAATTTAATTAACAACGAAAAAAAAATCAAAAATCATTTGCTAAATTCGTTATTAAATTGATAAAAAAGACTATCATGATATTTTTTGAAGAGTTAAGAGATTATTATAAACTTTTTTAAGTTAAGAGATCAAAATGAACCATAAAACATTTTGACTCTACGATAACGCCTAATTTTCAGAAGTTAAAAAATTTGTTCTAATAGAATTTAATAAGCAACGAATTTTATATTCTGTTGCGGTAACATATATATATTTTTATAAATAATATATAATGGCTCGAGACCGTGTCATAGTATTTCAATATTTATATTTTTGCTATTTTGTCTTTTTCTTATTTTGTCGATCAAATGAGATGTCATAAGCAGTTAGAATTGATTGCTTGTGATTGGTAGATGATTGGGTGATATGTCACCAATCAGCCTATATATCCGTTGTATGAATGAAAAAGAAGACACAATTTTTGCAACAAATTATATTCTTCTCTTTTTTTATCAGTATACTTCATTTTCCTCTACAGCTCTTAAATCAACATATAGCTTTTCTAAACCTATAGTTATCTCTGGTTCTAGAGTAGGATATTACCTATTCATCCATAATATTCAAAGGTTGGTATCAATTGGTATCAGTCTGGTGCTTCATGGCCTCGCCTTCACAATCTCTTCAAGAGCTGGAACAACGCCTTGAAGAGCGTCTCGCACAAATGCAAATTCAACAGAACACAAATATGGACGAGATTCGTTCTTTACTTCGTGTTCCCTCCGATCAAGGTTCTCCGACATCAAATGTTAGGAAATACTCTAACAACACGCGTAACAACAACACCAACATATACGCAAGTCACATCTCCAAAGTTGAATTTCCTAGCTTTGATGGGAAAAAAGTGCGTGACTAGCTCTACAAATGTGATTTTTTTGTTGGACGAAACTCTGGCGCCGTCAATGGTGCAGTTGGCTTCTATTCACCTTGATGGGTTAGCTTTACAGTGGCATCTCAACTACATGCGTCAAAAATTTTATATCTACCCACAGTGGCCTCAATATGTCACTAATGTCACAACCCGCGTCAGCGACATCTATGAAGACCCATTATCGGCATTGTTGCAGGTGAAGCACAGTGGTAAGGTTCAAGAATACATTGACAATTTTGAGCTTGCTCTCTCCCAGGTTAACTTGATTCCTGAACATTCTCTGAGCATTTTTCTAGCTGGCTTAGATTATAACACCCACATGCATGTTCGTATGTTTAACCTTACAACCATTGCTCATGCTGCAAATTTAGCCAAACCCCACAAAGCTTCCACTCCACCAAAGAACCATTTTTGTTTTTCATCTTTCACCAAAAACCTAAGTCTCTTGCCCAAACCGCACACTTCAATACCGTCTTCCATCCCTACTACAGCTTCTGTTAACCCAAACACAAATCATAGAGCAAATTTTCCACGACAAACACATATTTATTCTGCTCTTGAAATGGATGAACGTACAACTAAGGGCCTTTGTATGTTCTGTGACAAACAATTTACACCAGGTCACCAGCTTAAACATCGTAGATCTCAATTAATGGTACTTGAAATTAATGATGATGAGTCCCCTGAAGACGACTTTGTTTAAGTAGTTCAGACAGTTGATATTGAGGTCCCTCAAGTTTTTAATAACCCTCATTTATCCCTTCAAGCTTTCACATGTATTGCCGATTTTCAGACCATGCGTGTAACCGGCTTACATGACAAAAAAAAATGATCCACATACTCCTTGATAGCGGTAGCACACACTATTTTTTAGACTTAGAAATTGCTAAGTCAATGAGTTGTAAACTTGAAGCTATTTCACCTGTAGTTGTAATTGGTGGAGGAGGCCACAAATTGGAAGTTGTTTTCATTTGTCGAGGGTTTAAATGGAAAATACAGCAAGCTGAATTTACTACAGACGTGATTGTGTTGCCCCTTGTTTGCTATGATTTGATCCTAGGAATTCAGTGGTTGAAATCTTGAGGACCTATTCTTTGGGATTTTCACAAACTTTAAATGGAATTCACCACAAATGGAAGGAAATTTGTGTTGTGGGGTGCTAAGACTCCAAGTTTCAAATTAATTAACAATAAAACTTTTGCCGAAGCTGTGAACAAAGGAGCTGAATTATGTTTTCTGTCCACTTCAAATGCTACTTACTCTTTTGAGGTTAATACTTGTCACACCATGTCTACTCAGTCTCAGACACACGTATTACCCGAAGCCATTGCTACAATGATAATCAAATATGCTGATATATTTGAAGAACTTGTTGTGCTGCCTCCGATTCACTCTGGTTTTAATCACAAAATTCCTCTTAAGGAAGGGTCAAACCTTTCAACCTATGCCCTTATCGTTTGTTCAGTAATACAGAAAGATATTATCGACACATCATGCAAAATCTGTTGGATCGGGGAATTGTTCAGCCAAGAAATAGTCCCTTTGCTTCCTCAACAATTTTGGTACGCAAGAAGGATGGTTAATGGCGACTATGTGTTGATTTTTAAAGGCTCAATGATTTAACCATCAAGGATCGACTTTCTATTCCTTTGATTGAAGACCTATTGGATGAGTTACACGGTTCTGCAATCTTTTCAAAATTGGACATGAGGTATGGTTATCACCAATTACAAATGGCTAATGGGGAAGAATACAAAACAACTTTCAAAACTTATAGTGGCCACTATGAGTACTTGGTAATGCCCTTCGGACTTACAAATGCTCCTGCATCTTTCCAAGCTCTCATGAACCAGGTTTTTAAACCCTTCTTAAGAAAATTTGTCGTTATTTTCTTTGATGATTTATTAGTGCACAACCACTCTCTTGATGATCATTTTCATCACTTATAATTGATTTTCCAAACTATTCGAGACAACCACTTATTTCTTAACCAACCTAAGTATAATTTTGCTTTGCCTATAATTGAATACCTAAGTCATTTTATTTCGAAGGAAGGTGTGTCTACTGATTCTCACAAAGTTTAAGCTGTTAGGTCTTGGTAAATACCATTTAACCTTAAGCAATTGAGAGGATTCATTGGGTTAGCTGGTTACTACCGTAGACTTGTAAAGGATTTTGGAAAAATTTCCAAGCCCTTGACTGATTTACTTAAAAAAGATTGTCTTACAAGGCAAGAAGAAGCCACTCAAGCCTTCAACAATTTGAAACAAGCTTTGGTATCTGCCCCTGTATTAAGCTTACCAAATTTTGACAAACGGTTCATTATTGAGACTGATGCTTCGGGAAAAGGTATTAGAGTTGTATTAATGCATGATCACTACCCTATTGCACACATCAATAAGACTTTGGGTCCAAAACAACAAGCCATGTCTGTCTATGAAAGGGAACTCTTGGCTATAGTGTATGTTGTACATAAATGGAGCTCGTATTTATCACATGCTCCTTTCACCATTAAAACAGATCAAAAGAGTATCAAATACATATGGGAACAAAAGCTTAATGCACCTTTTCAACATGTCTGGGTATCCAAACTTATTGTTTTTTATTTTGGCCGCAGATGCCTTATCAAGGAAAGAAGGTGTTGAGCTCTTAGCATTATTTCTTACTAATCCAAGTCTTGATCTTTGGGAGTCTATCAAATCTGATTGGCATCATGATTGACAACTCACTTCCATCATACAAGAATTTCAACAAAATCCAAATTCTCACGCTAAGCATCCATTTGATTCCATTCTTTTTCCATTGCAAAGCTTGTTACCTCATCTTTCCAAAGCATCAAGAATTTTTCCCTAAGACCCCTTGAGGTAGAAATGCCATTGGATTGAACTTGATAACTTGGAAATGAAGTTTCTCCATAAGTCAGAATTTGAAATTCATGTTTTGGCCTTTAAACATCAAATTAGCACGCGTTTGTGATCTAAACATGTTTAACCAAGTTGCCAAAGTGGATTAGAGCCTTGGAACGCAAGGATTAGATGAGTTTTGATGCAAATCAGATCACACTTTTCTCGTGCATCAGGTTCACATGATTTCCCTCCAAACTTCATCATTTCACGCGCTTGAACATTCCATTTGATTCCCTATAAATAGAGGGTCATCCCCCATTCAATTTCCCAAGCTTAGATAGCCAGAATCACCCTGCCAAACTTGCTTCACAACTCAGAATTCAGCTACTTCGAATCCTACTCTCAAGTCTTTTTAATCCTTTTTTCCATAAATTCATCTTCCTTGATCTTCCCTGGAGCTAACCACATAATTACATTCAAGAATCGTGCCCTACATTGCTCCATAGAAGTCAAGTTTCAGAGCTCTGCAACTCAATTTCAATAGGTAGATTTCTTCATCAATTCTTCAAAACTTTGGTATCATTGTGTTGCTCTTATTGCCCTGGTTCTAGTCACAACACTTACTTCTTACTGGAAACACGTTTTGACCATGAATTTTCAAATCCCTTTTCAAAACTTTCTTTCCAAATTGCTTAAGCTATAATTTATATAAATTTGGCGCGAGGGTGTGATTGTCTTCGTCTTGAAGAGACGAAGAGAATGGCATATGTCTGAGCTTCTGATTTTACAGTTTGAGAGACCTGCAATTCGTGAGGGTTGGAGGTTGAAGATGACCAACGTGTCATTTTCTAACCAATGAAAGCGTGCCATTTGTTATTTTCAAATTCTGATTTTATTAATGATTCTGTACATTATTCATTAAAGACCATGATATGCACAGTATGCCAGATCCCTTGGATTTGATTACTAACGCGTTTTAACTCTCATCCAATGGTCCACATCTTTTTCTTTTATTTTCTTTTTCTGATTTTTATATTTAAATGTTTTAAACTTCAAAAAATCATAGAAAATTGATTTTAGTCCAAAAAATCTAAAAAATATATGAAAAATATTTTTGATTATTCTCTTTCTGATTTTTATTTTTTCACAATTTAATTTTGTGTTTTGGTATTTTTTATAAATTTTGCACTTATTTGATTTGTTTAAAATGTTTAAAAATACTTTTACACATTTTTAAATTCTGAAAAAATTACGGAATGATCCAATGATATTATGACAAATATTGGTGAACCTATTTTATTTTTGTTTCTGACTTTACTATTTTTTTACTATTTTTGTTTATTTTACCCATTTATTTTAATTCTTAAAAATGGTTTCTGACCTTTAAAAATTCCCAAAAATTTTATAAAATCACTTGGCCTCTTTTCTGATTTTTCTATGGTCTTATTTTTCATTTCTTGATTAATTTGAATATAATTGATATTTTTCTCATCATTTTCCATTTTAAAAAAAACACTTTTAAACCTTTTAATGTATATATTAAATATGTTATTATTTTGTGATTATTTTCTGGCTATCTTGGGTTGATTTTTTGATCATGACTTTATTAACATCATTGGATCCATGGTGTTGAGTTTAACTCCACAAAAAATGGATGAATGATTTTAATAATAGTTTGATTAAATTTTTAATCCAAAAGTGGTTTATTCATCTTTTGCCCCAATCCTCTTCATCTCATCCCCTTCTCATTGCACTAAATGTTGTTGGAGCATGACCTATATGTCATGTCTCAAAATAAATGGTGCATAGATTGCTATTGACCGGCCTCAAAATATGTGCGAATTCTATATAAGTCCACTTACGATTACTTAACATAGTGCTAAATTTTTGTCCCGATTCAAATAAATGATCATTCGTGGCCCAAACTTATGATTGCAAGCCCAAGTATGCCAATTTGATCTCTTTGATCCAATAACCTTGAGATTTATTGTGTGGAGGCTTTGGTTCTACCAATCCTCTAATGGATCTACAACACCTTTGGTCAACGCGGATCACTTAAACATCATTGATCATTAAATGATACTTATGAGAATTCCAAATGGATGATATACTTGACAAAAAGCAAATGCAACTTGTTGTGTGGAGGATTTGGTTCTACCAATCCTCTAATGAGTTCCAAATGCAAGTTTCAAGATGGTCATCCAACTAACCACTAATTATTAACTTGTTTTATTTTATGCTTTTATTCTTTTATGCTTTATGCACTATTTATCTTTTAGCATTTTCATTTCATGCCATTTTCATCTTTGCTCATTTGAGCATTTATTTTCTTGTCCTTTTTATTTTGCTTACTTGAGCTTTTATTTTTCTTTTCTTAAGATACTTAATAATCAACTTAAACCCTAAAAAACTCTTATTGGTACTTGGACTATTTGATTACTATCCTTGGCATTATAGAGCAGTGGACTTTTTCTTGGACTTAGGATTAGAAACCTTGGCCTACTTTAGAGACCTTGTGATCTTATCTGATTATTTTGTCTGGAGCTCTTGAGGTTTACCTCAAGACATTGGGTTGCTTGTTTGTTTTTGTGTGCAGGTTTTTATGATTATATCCTTTGTTTGTAATATGGAATTCACCTGTATACAGCCGTTACTCTGCCCAATTTTTATGAAAACTTAATACATTTGAAGAGGTCTAGTATCTTTGCTTACTTGGTTTCAATCTAAAGAATGGAAATTCTATCTTGGCTCATAATATCATGTTTTGGCTTCTTGTTGGTTAGATGGTCCTTATCCTTAGCTTTTACCTTATGCTTTAGGATAGTCTCTTCTTCTCCTCCCATCTTCTTTAATTTCAAAAATCTTCTCCCTCATTTTGAAAACTCTTCTTGTTTTGAAACTTAAACCACTTTCATAATAAACTTGGACTTATGTCCATGCATTTTTAAAATATTTTCATAAATAAACTTCAATCAATTTAATAATACCTTGACATTTTTTGTGAGAAGACTAAAAGTCAATTAATCTCATTTCAAACCATTTTGCCACTTTGGCTTTTTATCCTTTAAACTTTTTTTAAAAGATTAGACTCTTGTCAATCCTTGTAGTGATGCAAACAACTATACTTCTACAATATATAGTGAAGAGAGATATTTTCCACTTGGGTGTTGAGTGAGGCATTGTTGATTTTAAAATCCAAGCCATATCCTCCACTTTGAGATGATGCAAATTCTCCTTCCTCATGATTGTGGGTAGTAAGTATGTTTTCCACACGGACAATAACGATGATGACTTATCTCATAAAATTAACCAACACACTTTTGTTTCAAATTTTTAAAAGAGGAACCACGTGTACCCTGATCCCCTATTGTATGAAAGGTGGTACGTAGGCACTAAAGGTTTGCAACCGCGATGGGTGCAAAAATCATAAAAAATATATTTCTTTTCTCACCTCCACCATCCATTTTATATACAACACATTTCATAGCCAAAATATACATATTTTACCAAGAGGTTCCTGCGGAGTACCGTAGATATTTAGAGTGCTAATACCTTCCCTTTGCATAACCAACCCTCTTACCTTGAATATTTCCCCCCTTTTTTGGGTTATTCGCTCTTTTCCCATTCCTTTGGAAACAATAAAGTGCGGTGGTGATTTTTATTTTGATCTGTGTAAAGTCTAGTCAATCCAATGGCTTAGTCTTGAACATTTCTACCGCTACACCAGGAAAAACAATCTTTGTACTCCTTAAGCAACTGGATCACTTCTGCTTTCACTCCTGGACTAAGCTTCGAACTGACATACGTGGGTCTTCTTACAGTCTCATCTCCCATATCCACTTCTTCAAGAGGGGCCTGCGCTAGCATCTTTGCGTTCGACGCCATTGGATCCTTCTCGAATCCCAAAGGCCCATGATCATATATTGCGTCCAGCCTTTGGTATTTTTCTTTGACGGGCTTCTCTTCGTCAGGGGGTGTTGGCTTGAAGAAAATCCTAGGTCCTTTTGCATGATTTGTTTCTTCCCTGGCCTTTATAGCCATAATCTTTACTTCGGATTCTAAAACTGTTTTTAGTCTGTTTTCATCCAAATAGGCCAAAATCTTTTCGAAGAAAGAAGGTTCAGACATGATCACTGTCTTCGTCATCCCAGCCTGTTGGCCGTATCCCTGGAAGTCTAGGTACATCATCTTCATGCCCCAAAGTCTCTCTATCCCAGCAAAATCCATGCCTTGGACGCAGGGTCAGAAAGTACATAGCATTATAGTTTGGCTCATATGCGCCATCTGCAGCACTCCAAGGCCCTATGTTGGCCAAGTTCCGATTAAAATTCCTTTGATCAACCTGGTTAAACTCTTCCATATAATAGCTTTGGTCTGCTTCAATATTTTCCACAATTCCATCTTCTCTCCAAATTTCCACGCGCTGGTGCATTAAGGAGGGAACTGCGCCTATCCCATGAATCCATTCACGACCCAAGAGTAAATTGTATTTTGTCTTGGCCAGTATAACCATGAACATCGTTGGTATGGTGATGGTTCCTACAGTGAGATCAACTTTAACTGCGCCAAGTGTATGGCCAATTTTTCCTTCATAATTAGACAATACCATATTATGAGGTTTTATATCTGTGTCATACATACCTATCCTCTTCAGAAAGAATTGAGGCACGAGGTTGACAATAACACCCCCATATATCATTATTTTGTTGATCCCCACTTGTTCTACTTTTCCCCTGATAAAGAGAGGCTTTAGATGGTTTTTCAAAGAATGCATTCTGTTCTTCGACTGCTACACTATTCATAACATAATAGCACACAAGTTTGTGATTTTCCATCTCTAATTCGTCTGCTTCTTCAGAATCTTCTACCTCTGTT